GGCTGCGCGCGCCGGGGCCCCCACGCGCCCCTCCTGCACGTGGTCCCTGCACAGGCTGCAAGCTGGGGGCTGTACACCCTGAGAACCTCCCCCACCCACCCCTGACACACACACCCTACCTTGGGCGGCCTTCTCTGGTTTTCAGTTCTGGGCGAAGGTTCCAGTCCCAAGTGGACTGCCCCTACAACACTGCTGCCCCCAGGCCCCCTCTCAGAGCGGCGTGCCTAGGACACCCCGTGGATGCTGAAGCGCCCCAAGAAGAAAACTCATGAGAAATGCACGTCAGAGGCGGCACGGTCTCCATAGCAATTGCCTTTTAGTGCGCGTTTATGGTTCAAAGTGCTTCCCACCAAGAAAACGCATATATTCGCTAATCTGGCCTTCCCAGCTGTAAATGTTTCTGAAAAAATAACAAGCCTCGTGGCTGCCTAGCCTGAATAATAATTCCTCTGCAGTGTTTTGGAAAAGATCTCAGGTGTAGAACACTCTAAGGGTTTATTCATGGCCACCTCCTCCTGTCTCATTGTTACATAGGCTGTAATCCCACATCTCAAAATAAAATATTTCAGGCGGGAAGAGGAGGGGTGATGGTGAGGGGAGACAATTCTCGCATAGGAATAGCAGCAATGTGGGGGTGAGACTAAATCCTGCATTCCTCCACAAGCTTTTCTCCACAGGACATACTGTACCCACCCTTTCTGGATGCTGCAAAAATAAACACGTGGATGAACTTCCTTCTGTCAAGCACAATGAGAAATAAACCAGCTGGCCAGCATGGTGATCCAGATCCTACAGGTGCCAGCAACTCAGCAGGTGGTGTGGGGGAGAAGAGGAGGGGGTAGGGAGCTGAGACTGGAGGCTCTTGAGGCCCAGGATGCTGCCTCAGTAGGGAATTTGTATTGAGAACCTACTATGTGCCAGGGTGCTGGGCTAAGAAGTGGGAATGTGTGGTCAGGATAATGTTCCTGCCCAGAAGGAGCTCTCAGTCTAGCAAATCATGACTCGTGTCCTGGATTTTGCAGTAGCTTTGGGTGTTGAATTTTGATGCAGACAACTTCTAGGAGGTGGCTGCTTCTAATTGGGAAGGTCTTGGGATTTTCCAGGTGGAGGCAGTATAACATGTATGGCTGTATGGGTCAAGGTCCTTCCCAGAAGGAAAACAGATGGCACTGCAAAGATTTCAACTTAAAAGACTTTAAGTAAAGGGATGTGGGCAGAGTTTAGGAATCAGCACAGGGATTAACAACAGTGGGAAGAGATGATGGGAAGAGATAAATTAATAGGAGTAAAGGAAGGGAGCTAGAGTCCTGAACAGGGAGCACAAAACAGGAGCCATAGCTGATGAGGAAGCAGTCATTGCCAGGACCACCTCTTGTCAAGTAGACAGCAATAGGAAGGAATACATGACTTCTCTCTCCTCCCACCCTCCATTCTCCTGGAAGAGCTTCCCATTGGCCAAACCCCACTGCATACCAGAGGGCAAGAGAGCCTGGAACCTAGTCCAGGACACAGAATTCAGGTAGGGAGGGCCGAGTGTGGGTTCCAGGGGTGAGGTGGGGTAGAGGGCAAGTAGTATAACCAGCACAATAAGGTTCTACTTGTTCTTAATCAGAGGAAGTTATTATAGGAATGACTTTCCTGGTCCATTTTCATCCATTCTATTTAAAGAAGTACCTAGGAGGAAGGTGCCCCTGAAGTGAGTTTAAGATTTTCAGCTATCCCAGAACAAACCTACCAGCCCAGGGAACCTAGAGCTGGCCTGATTCAAACTGCAGAACGGTATGTATGTATGGGGCCCTAGAAGTCAGTCCAAGGTCAGCCCAGACTGTCAGGGCTGGTTGCTGAGTGTTTATGCTGCAGAGACCCAGGGGCTCAGGTAGGACAATTCCTAAGCCGAAAGCTCCTCTGTGCCTGAGACCCAGAAAGAATGGAGATATCTGATGGTCCTTTGCCTTCCCCCAAAAGAGAGATTCTGCAGGGGGACACCAGCAGTAGAGTGGAGCACACCCTAAGATATTTGATAATTAGGCCATTCTTGAGGGGAAAAAAAGGAACAAATTCACCAAAAAAATCAACAAAAGCCAAATCCTCAATTATGCTCCATCCCAAAGTAGATAAGAGTCCTATACAGGTTTAAGAGATTCTGATTCACTGTCATTTTAGAAATATGCAGTATTGATAAAGTCTGAGTGAACAGAGCAGGAAAAATCTTGATTGCTTTCATTCTTTTCTGTTATCATTCCAATACCGTTAGCTTTCAAATAAGGAATGTGTTGAAAATTATCTTAGAAGTTCTTACATTTAAAAAGTCATGTGTGTGGATTCTTTCAGAATTTAAAGTAGAAAGACACTGAAAATTGAGTCTTTGCAAAATTCAGTGTGGGATCTGCTCAGTGAATTGGCCACTGCCTTGCCCACTCTGGTCTTGAGCTCAGGCTCTGTCTGTGACATCTCCCTAGGAGGGCATTCTCAAGAATGTGAGGGTTTGTCTCTGGGCTACTCATACTTTTTGCTGTTGTATGTAACCACGGCAGGTTGCCATATACGTGATAGGTGCTTGATAAATGTCTATGAAATGAATGAAAGAAAAGAAGGGAGGAAGTTACACAGAACATGGCCAGGTCTTTACACAGACCTGGCATGTTTTTGAAAGAAACTTCAGGAAGAAACAGAACCCAAGTTTCATACTTACTATAAACTCTGGGAAACACAACAGTGAGGTAAATATGAACTCTGCACTATAAGTGCAACCAGAATGAGCTGACATGCGAGAATTGATGACTCTTAGTCCTTGATCCCTTCAGCTCTGCCTGAAGATTGGAAGGAATTACAGTATAAAGACTACTGAGTGCTTATTTTTACTAACTCTTCCTTCTAAAAAAACTCTTAACTTTCAGAGACATTTTGTAACATCACGAAAGATAAACTTTATCTATTGCCCATTAAAATTTACCAATAATATGTATTGAGATTCTTCACGAATAAGGCACTGTTCCAAAATCATATTACCTTCAAAATATTCCCATTAAGTAATATTGTCCTTACTTTATAGATAGGAAAACTGAGATTAAACAATTCACCCAAGGTACCATGTGGGGTGGATGGTGGAACTATTTTGGAACTCAGCCAGACATGAAACCTTATTCTTATTTAATGACCTAAAACTAAAGTCAATTACATTATGGCCTGAAACTGAAAAGGCGGGAGGGGAAGGGAAGAGCTGGTTCCCAATCTCCAAGGTAAAGAAGCAAAACACACTGACACTCAAAAATAGGTCTGTTGTCTCAGGCTATTAACTTGTGGGATTCACTGAAAGGAAGGGAAAAAAAAACTGAAAAAGCTTCCTCACCAACAAAAGTTAGAAAACTACTTGTCATAATAACATTCTTGATCAGCATCACTCCGTTTATCAGGAATACAAATAGCAAGTGATTTAGTACCCTTTCTGGCTTATATGGCTCTACTGTACTAGATGCTAAGCCAAAGTATAACATCTAAGAGTATTTTTGTTTAAAATTTGAACTTTAAAGGCCAGAAGTTTGTGTGTGCCCTTATTTTAATGAATTATCTTGCTGCTACCAATTAGATGCCTTGTGACAAGGAACATGAGAGCTATTTAAAAGAGACCTGTACAATTTAGGCAGAATAATTGCAGTCCTGAATAGGACAAGCAATTAAATACAGCCTGCATCCTGCATCTTAGGGTATTTTGAGGCATCTGATGGCATTGTGCCTGGTTCCTGGGATTCACATGTTGAAAGCCTTTCAGACTTTAAAAAAAATATGTATTTAAAGCCATTAATTCCCTCTTGAAACAAACAAAGGAAAGAGCCTTTTATAGAATCTTGCTGGACTCCTGCTAATAACCTAAGGAAGCCAACCAAATTTTTCAAGAGGGCAGCTCAGAATCTCTAGATCTCCTAAGACAGTTAATAACCTGATGAAATCATTTTAAAAAATCATTAGCTCATTTCCACTGAGACAAACCATTGTTAAAGAAATTTTATTAAAATAATGTTTTGATATTTTAAAAACATGTATATCGTATAGTAGTCAAACAGCATAAACGAACATCCAATGAAATGTTAAGTGTCTCTCCCTCCCCTAACCTACAATGTTCTGGTTCCCCTCCATAGAGAGAGATTCTCTACTTTTAAATGTGCAAACATATTTGTAGCCATTATAGACACTTGCGTTTGATAACTTCATCTCTTAACAGTCTACAGAAATTTTTTTCTAATGAACATGAAGACAATTAGATTTTTAGGGCTGTGCTTTGAAGGAGATAAACAGGGAGATGAGAGAGTAACTGGGGATGAGAGAAGCAGCCTGATTTAAATAGGGTCACTTCAAAGACCTCTCCAAGGTGGTGACATTTGAATTGACCATGAGGAGGAGACAGCAAAGTGAAAGTCCAAGTGGAGAGAGTTCCCCTGGAAGGTATCTCTGTAGTTGGAAAAACCAAGGAGAAGGAAGAGGGCTTGGTGTTGGAGGAACAAAATGTCAGTGTGATGAGAGAGGGGGAGGGTGATAGGCACAAGGGTCAGGTAGTCTTTTCAGCCAGGATGAGGAGTTTGGATTTTATTCCAAACGCCACTGGAGCATTGAAGAATTTTAAAGACAGAGGTGAAATGTGTGGTTTACATTTTCTAAAAGCTCATGCTAGTAGATTGTTTCCAAAGATGGCCTGCCTATTTTCCTCCTCTTAAATGTGGGTAGGCCCTATG